CGACAGACTCGAGTGGCACTGAAGCGGGGACTGGTGAGGGGAGTTGTAGAGCGCCACGCAGAGGAGACCGAGGGAGAAGATATCGGCAGAGACGGTGAGGTTGGAATCAACAGCAAAGTCCGGTGAGGTGTAGTCCAGATTCAGCTGTACGGTACGGGGCAGCCTGGGGTCGGGGTGGAGGACCTCGGAGAGGGCGATGGGGCGGAAGGATGTCGTCTTGTCGGAGTCCTGGGGCGGGCTGCAAAATGCGAGGCCGCTGATCTTCCAGTCTCCCTGTTGTGTAAGATTAGTATAGATCAGAAGAGGGGTGTATCTCATCGTCCATAACCCACCTTGGCGTTGATCAGGACGGCGTCAGGGGTCAAGTTGCCATGCACAAGGCCGGCATTCTCGTGCAGAAACTCCAAGGCCTTGCTGATTTGTAGAAGCCCCTTTTGGATCTCGAGCTCGTCAATTTCCAGCTCCCGCCGCCTCCGGGTGCCATCGGCGTCCTCCGTCACATAGCGGCTGGCCCGGCCGCCGACCCCGCCACTCCGTTCTTGATCGTCCTTTTCCTGCAGTAGGCTCGCGAGCGAGGCCGTCACGGGTTCCGTGACAAACTGAAGGCCTCCGCCCCTTGTTTCTTCGACGGGCTCGACGAGTTCGACGACGTTGGGGTGTCGAAGGCGGGCCAGCGACGAGGCCTCCTTCTTCAGCCGCTCGATAACCTCGGCCACGACGGTCTTGAAGGCGGCGGCTCCGGACCGGCTCAGCTCCTTGCTGTGGGCATCGATGGACTTTTTGTCAAAGACAAAGACAGAGTACTCCTTGCCGGTCGACTTCTTCTTGGCGCTGTAGATCTTCCAGGGCCCGGCGACCGACGTGATGTTGGGCGAGACCTGGTAGTTGGCCGTGATGTTGGTGGCCGAGATGGACTTTAGCGCGTTGGAAAACATGGTTGTTCGGGGCGGCCTGTCGCAGGCACAATGGCTCGCATCGCTGTTCTATCGGTTGCTTGCTCGCGGCTCGTGGAGGTTCGGGCGGATGGTTGGTCCTAGGCGCATAGAGGCCAGCTCGAGGAAGGGGGTGTGGGGGTTCTTCAGAGGCGGTGGTTAGCAGTCTGCTTGTGGGCTTCCTTCTTCCTTGACAATCGTCAGAACTCTCACCAGATAATTAATCGCCGGGGCTGATGACACGCAAGCTGTGATAGCCGCGCAATTCTTCAGGCAAGCCCCAAGCAGCTGGCCTCGAGCGCTGCAGCTTTTCCCAGCTTGTGTTTCGTCAGCTCTGTCGTGGTCGCTTGGCAAGGCTGCAGGTTCTAGGTCAGGCCAGCAGTATGTTCTCTGCTCAGTGGGTGTCGCAGCGTCATTGGGCGCTGTGTGGATGGAGTCTCAGCGCTGTCGTCAAGGTCCCTGCAGCGACCTCCAACCTCCAAGGTGCGGTACCAGGCTCGGGGCTTATCAGCAGCCGGGCCGGGAGCGGAACTGGTTCCAGGACGAAGCTTGATTGGGCGAATTGGGATACAACTCGAGCTCCGATACACCTCCGAATATTTTGCTGACCGCAGAGACACTCTGAATTGGACAAGTACCTAACAAGACGGGCAGTCAGATCCAGCCGGTCCTTCGAGTCTCCGAGCTTGTACGGCGAGACAGCCAGCCCTTTTGGTGACACATATACCCCGGGCCCCTCTCCACGCTGTGCTTCCTGTCACCAAGGAGAGTCAATTGTTCCTGTCCTCCTCCTGCTCGTTGTCTCTGCCCCCATCACCATGATGCGCCCCATCCTTGGGCGATGCGCCGCTCGGTGCGCCCCTCGATGCGCTCCCCTAGGAGCCACGGCGCGGCCAGCTTCGCGGGTGCTGCTCGGGACATCGACATGGCGGCCGACCCGCCAGTATAGCATCAAGGCCGAGGCCGCCGAGAGCTCCAAGCCCCAGGGGCTGGACGCTAGCAAGCTCACGGTTGAGAAGACGACCAAGCCAAAGCCCCTCAAGAAGGCCGAGGAGCTGGTCTTTGGCCAGGCCTTTACCGGTCCGCTCCCCCTTCGCGAACCCGGCCACGACTCCCGCTGACCATGGCCCCCTCACAGACCACATGCTTTCCGTCGAGTGGAACAAGGACGCCGGGTGGCTCGCGCCCAAGATCACGCCGTACCAGAACCTCTCGCTGGACCCGGCCTCGTCCGTCTTCCACTACGCCTTTGAGTGCTTCGAGGGCATGAAGGCCTATAAGGACAAGGCCGGCCAGATCCGCCTCTTCCGCCCCGACCGGAACATGGAGCGCCTCAACAAGTCGGCCGCGCGCATCGCCCTGCCCAACTTTGACCCCAGCACGCTGCTCGACCTCATCGCCGAGCTCGTCAAGCTCGACAGCCGCTTCATCCCCGAGCAGCGCGGCTACTCGCTCTACCTGCGCCCGACCATGATCGGCACGCAAAAGACGCTCGGCGTCGGCGCGCCCGGCTCGGCCCTCCTCTACGTCATCGCCTCACCCGTCGGCCCTTACTACCCCACGGGCTTCAAGGCCATCTCGCTTGAGGCCACCGACTACGCCGTGCGCGCCTGGCCCGGCGGCGTTGGCGACAAGAAGCTCGGCGCCAACTACGCCCCCTGCATCGTGCCGCAGCGCGAGGCCATGAGCCGCGGCTTCCAGCAGAACCTGTGGCTATTTGGCGACGAGCAGTTCGTCACCGAGGTCGGCACCATGAACATGTTTGTCGCCCTCCGCAACAAGGACACGGGCGCCAACGAGCTGCTCACGGCACCCCTCGACGGCACCATCCTCGAGGGCGTCACGCGCGACTCGGTGCTGGCCCTGGCGCGCGAGAAGCTGGTGCCCGAGGGCTGGAATATTGTCGAGCGCAAGTACACGATGCAGGAGCTGAGCGACGCCGCTGACGAGGGCCGCTTCCTCGAGGCGTTTGGCTCGGGCACGGCTGCTATTGTCAGCCCCGTGCGGTCCATCAGCTGGAAGGGCAAGCTCGTGGACTGCGGCCTGAAGCCGCACGAGGAATCAGGAGAACTGGCGACCAAGATGAAAGGCTGGATCGAGGCGCGGCAGTACGGCGATGAGGAGCACGAGTGGAGCTATACCTGCTGAGCGGGTCAAAATGGGGCGGGGGATATATGAAGATGTAAATAGTAGACAGGAGCGATGTTTGGAGCGCCTATACAATCTGATTGACTGCTTTTGTAAACTTGACCTGCATTTCAGTCCGGGTATCGTAGTCCGGCGTCATTTGCTGTCCACAACTCTATACCCAAGCAATGCGTTCAACAACAAGAGACATTGACCAAAAGAGCATTATAAAAGAGGAACAGCCCCTGCAAGGGGCGTGTACGTGTAATTCTTCACCTCTCGTCCTCCCCCGTCTAACGAAAGAGGCCAATTGGGGCCGATACTCAATCGACCCAGCCCCGTAAAAGTATGTGCAAAGTCCAGCTAAACCACCCGGCCCCCATCAACGAACCCAACCCACCCCCTCACTTCTTCTCGGGAAACGGATCCTCCAAGATCCCCTCAACCTCTAACCGTCTCCTCGCCTCCTCGAGCGCCCACGTCTGGATCCTAAATTCCCCCCTCACGTCAGCCCCGAACCCCCACAGAGAAAGAGGAAAAAAACTCACGATGTATCCGGCTTGAACGCATACGCCACGGCAAACACGCCCAGCGACCCGTAGAACCCGTAGAAGAACAGGTTCTCCCACCCCTCCTTCTCGTACTTCTCGCCCGGCTTGACGCCAAACAGCCAGCCCGTCGGGGGGTCGTACTGGGCGCCGCCGCCGGCGCGGCGGCTTGTGGCCGAGAAGGCGCGGGTCGACGTCGTCAAGGAGTGGCGCGCCGCGGCGGCCCGGAGGCAGGCGCTGGCCGGGCGGAGATTGGGCATTTTCGCGGGTACTGTGGTGGTGGGGTGGGTTGTCAATTGCGGATTGATGCGATATAGGAGGAGGGGAGGGTTGTTGGGTTTACGTGGGTAAGGGTTGTTGGAATAAGGTTGAGGAGGGTTGGGAGTGAGCTGGGGGGGGGCAGTACCTTGACGCTGGACTGTGGTCGTCGTCCGTCGTCCAGCCGTGTGGGTGTCGCGGGGTGCGCGAAGAGTGGAGAGGTGGTGGTGGTGGTGGTTGTTGTGGATGAGCTTTGCGGCGGCAACGGGCTGTTGGGGTGACGAGGTGTTTCCGGGTGCCGGAGGTGCGGCTGGTCACGTGGGGTGGCTTGGGCGGCGGGTATGGACGGGATACCCTAACCCCATTGTGTTGTGGATGACTTCAACTTGAACAGACTTTCGACGACGAGGGTTGTTGACATAGGACATACCATTATTGCTGCGGTCTGAAAAAGACAAATTTGAGTATCTCATTTATTTTTCTTCAATGACGGTTCTTTAAAGTTTCTCTCTCCGGGGTAACCGTAATTGCAAGGGCTCTCACCAGTTCGCTTGCCGACCTCCACCCCCTTTCCTCACTCCATGCCCTGGCATAACGCTTACACCCAAGGTTGGGAAGTCTCGTATGAATCTCGGCTTGACCCCCTCTCAGACTCAGTATAAAAGGGTATAGTGGTTAAATAGACCCCTTGGCCGTCTCGACCCCGATATCCCCACTCGATTCAGTTAGGTGCCACTACCGCAGATACCAGATACGGAGAAGAGCGCCGAAAGGGGGTACATTAACCTCCCGACCATTCCAATCCACCACATACGACCATACCCACTGGAAAGCTCGGGATCCCGTCCGCTCTCCCATAGATAAGCCAGTGAGGGCCAAACTAGTAGTTGGGTCGGTGACGACCAGCGAATCCTTGGTGTTGTATGTTTTTTTCTCTCATTTTTGCTTCCGAGTCTCCAATGCCTTCCTTTTTTTCGAGGTTCTGGCAGCAGAGCTTCAATTTATCACCAGGACCAGGCTCGGTGCCCTGACTTCAGGAGCAAGGCGAACGCACAAGCAAAAAGACACCTTCCCCTTCTCTTCAGCCCTCCAAGGAACTAGGAGATGAACGATAGAAACCACAAAAAGAAAAAATTGCGTCAGCCGCGAATCGAACGCGGGGCCCATCGAGGTTGATCCTGTTGTCCTGGAGAACCAGGATTGGCAACGATGGATTTTACCACTAAACCACTGACGCTCTTTGTTGGTTAATATTGGTACGGGTTATGACTCTTGATGAGCCTCACTCGTCGGCAACACGAGGAAGAAGGTAGGTACCCTCCGAGATGCTTTGTTTCGTCCACGGAAATGTTACAGCGCCATGTTCGTGTGTGAAAAGGATGCTTGGTATCTTGACGAAAAGGGGACTCCAAAACCTCAAACTCGGAACACTCCTCACCCGCCCCTCTTTAACTTCAAAATGTCCTCCAACTTGAGCGCCCCCTTTGCACCCCATCCCGACTGTCCCCCATCGACAGCGGGCCGAACAGCCGTATACCACGCCCACGCCCTCCTGTCCAACTCCGACGGCATGAGATGATCCGCCCAGCTATCAAACACGATCCTCAACGCCCCCAGCAGCAACCCCAGATTCTCCGCCTTCTCCGCCTCCATAGCCTTGAACGTCATCTTCTTCTTCGCCGGCAACTTGGCCGCCCCCTCCGCCTCCGCCTCCGCTTCCGCCGTCCCAAAGCTCTTGAGCAAATAGCCCCTCGCCGCCTCGGGCACGTGGATCGGCATCCCCACGACATGCCGACTCGCCGCCGTCGCCATCCCGCCATACACTCCGCTGCTCGCGGCCGTAGCCTTGGCCCTCGCCGCCTCCAGGTCCAGGCCCCAGACGGCCTCGCCCCCGAGGGCGATCTCATGCCCGTCCTTCCGCAGCCGCTCCCCCAGCACGTTGGTCACGCAGTTGCGCATCAGCCGCCACCGGTCCGGGCCGAGCATGATGCCGCCGAACCAGCGCGTGAGCACGACAAGGGTGTCGACGGCGCCGACCTCGCGCATGACGCGCAGCATCAAGTCTCCACAGCCCGTCTCGCCGTCGTCGAAGGACTCCTCGCGGAGGCGGCCGGTGGCGGCGCAGCGGTAGGCCCAGGCGTTGTGCGTCGCGTTGCGGAGCTTCGGGTTCGCGGCGAGGAGGGACTGGACCATATAGGCGCGCTTGCTAGGGTCGGTGAAATGGATGGCGCGGGCGATAAAGGTCGAGTTCTTGAGGGAGATGGGCTGGCTGACGATCCAGGGGTGGCGGGTCTGGGTTTGGGAGAAGATGGGCGCGAGTTGGACGGTGGATTGGGTGGGTTGGGTCTGGGACTCGGTTGCTTCTGGGGTGTGCGTGTCTGCTTGGGTTTGGGTTTCCGTGTCGTCGTCCTTGGAGTTGCCGACCTCTTCTTCCCCTTTCCATTCGTAGCCGCCACGTTTGAGGACGGCGATTTCTCGGCCGAGCACTTTGACGCGCGGTTGCCCCTCTCCCCAGCCCTCTTGGTCGGCACTGGCACCCTTCTCCAGGCCGATGCTCACAGCTTTGGACCGCGAGTTGGCACTGACGACGGCTTGCGCAAGACTCAATCGACTGGAAAGTGGTTGCTCGGGCATCGTGTGCCGTAGCAACTCGACAGCAAATGCCAACACAAGCGGGGCGCGGTTGGTCTGGAGGACTGTCTTTGCGATGCGGTCTTCATCCATGCACAGTGGGAGCACGAGAGAGCGCTCCAGCTCTTGGGGTGTCATCTCTGTCGGACCGCCCATGAGGCCGGTCTCGCTTTTTGCGCGTTTTGAGGATGGTGAGGATGTTGAGGAGGAGGGCGTGGCCCTCTTGTTTCCCGCTCCCGATCCCGGGCTGAAGTCACCACGCTTGACGGCGGCCTTGCAAGCGGACTGAAGTGTTTTTGCCGTCTTTGGGTCGGTGAGAGCGGATTCCACGGTTGGCAGTGGTGCTTCGGCAATATCTTGGATACTAGCATGGTGAGTAACGGTACTGTTTCATGAAACCATGCCTGCTCTGATTTCGAAAGTGGCATAGGACTGACTCTTGGAAGCTCACCTTTTGAGGTTCACGGCCTGAAGAGACTTGATGTGTCCCATGGCCTGCAGCATAGGGATTTTCCGCCCTACAGTGAGCAGACGCAGCAGGTCTTGTAGGTCCTGCTGCGACGCCATGGCTGCGAGGTATTTTCGTCGGGTCGGAAGATGGTGGTTGTACAGATGAGCTGTGCTTGCAGTAGGCAGCGTGGTGTTGTGAACAGTGAACAGTGAGTGAGTGACGATTGCTGGGAGCTCAAGCCCCAGACCCCTGTACATGTGCCAAGACAACGACGGAGCTTCTCCGGATCGTGTGCCGAGCAAAGCTGCAGAAGGGTGGGTCCCTTTAACTCTTGGATTTTGACGCCACGGGATTTGAACTTCTCATGGTCATTTTTTATCCACCAACACTCTACGACACTCGGCTTCAATCCACAGGCTACAGGCTGCCCTCTGTAGTTGATTTGGCTGAAAATGGCACAGTGAGGTTAATTGACATTTCCGACCAGGTCCCTCCAACATCTGCCTCCACCATGGCTGCTCGCATCGGCCCGAGCAGCTTGTGGCTGGCTTCACACCTCCGAGCTACACAGGGCCCCGTCTCATCCCTCCTCCTACCCAGGTCTACGCTGCAGTTAAAGCCCACATACATATACAGGATCAGTCATGGACCATTCCGGACCTTCAGCCTCTCCTCTCCGCTCCACGCGAAGCCCAAGCCCAAGGCACGGAAAGCAGCAAGTCAACCACCAAAGCCACCTCACCCGCCATCACCGGGGTCTACACCTCCCCCAACCGACCCCCCACCCAAAGCATCCCAACCATACCGCCCAGTCCCTCCCCCTCGGCCCGCAACCTCCGTAACAACAGCCGCAGCCAAAGCCGAAGCCCGTAAAGCCCTCTTCTACCGCATCTTCCAAGGCCCCTTCAAATACTCTGGCTACTTCTTCTTCGCCTACCTCGGCCTCTCCACAGGCCTCTTCGCCTACCACCTCTCCTCGGCCGCCCCCTTCCACTCCGAATCCCAGACCCCCCACGGGTCCCACCCCACCGGCCAACCCTCGGACCTCCGCCAACCCTCATCCACCGACCCCTCCGACCTCTGCCGCAAGGCCGACCTCTTCAACACCGAGCTCACCGCCGACGAGCGCGTCTCAGGCATCTCGGGCCTACGCGCGCGCCTCGCCGCCCGCGCGCGCGGCGACGTCCTCGAGGTCGCCTCCGGCACCGGCCGCAACTTTGGCTACTACGACTGGAGCGGCGTCGTCACCACCACCCCGTCCCCGTCAGAGGACAACAAGATGCGCTCCTTCACCGCCGTCGACATCTCCGACGGCATGCTCCTCTTCTCGCGCAACGAGCTGCGCGCCCTCGTCCCCGGCCTGAAAGCCCTGCTGCACGCGCGGCGCGCCGAGCCGCTCCCCGTCGTCGGCGGTCCCGTGCTCGACGTCCTCGACGGGCGGGTCCGGCTGTTCAAGGGGGACGCGCAGGACGCGGCGCTTCCGCCGCCGGCGTCGGGGGGCAGGTACTACGACACGGTGGTGCAGACGTTTGGGCTGTGCAGCGTGTCGGATCCGGTGAAGCTGCTGGCCAACGTGGCGGGCGTGGTGCGCCCCGGGACGGGGAGGATCCTGCTGATGGATCACGGGCGCGGGTGGTGGGAGCGGTTCAACCGGGCGTATTTGGATCGGCTGGCGGTGGAGCACTTTGGCAAGTATGGATGCTGGTGGAACAGGGATATCGAGGGGTTGGTGAGGGAGGCGGCGCGGACGGTGCCGGGGCTGGAGATTGTCAAGGTGGAGAGGCCGTGGTGGCCGATGCATTTGGGGACGACGTGTATTACCGAGCTGAGGGTGAGGGCGGATGGGGAGGATGGGGGGGGGGGGCAAGAAGTAAAGTTGTGACGGGCGTTGGTGCTTGGAGTACGTAGGAGACGCTGATAGGGGATGGTGGTGGACGGAACATGGTGATCGCGAGACCGAAGACGACGACGTGGATGAATCCGCACAATGTCTGGCGTTACAGACAACAAGACCAAGTTGGCATCCGTCACAAGATCACAGCTCCCACCAGCCAACAGCACAGGCACACAGCAAGAATAAGCAGCAAAGTCAAGGTATCTTCAACGCGTCATCATCGTCAAGCGTCGCCGCAGCCGCAGCCCGGTAAGTAGTGTTACAACGTACAAGAAGCTCTTCCCTTCTTTCCCCAGATTGTATCCCACCTCGCCAGCAACCGGCCGAAAGCCCCGCAGCCCCGAGCTTGCTCGCACGCACCCGGCCTTCCTTCATCCATCCCGTACACCCCGAAATGTCCAGGAGAGCCCAGCCCGCCCGACTTGACCGACTAGAGAAAAAGCAAACAGGTATCACCCTTTATTTGTTTCCCCTTCCCAAGCCCGCGTACACGCACGCTCGCAACCCATCCTCCTTTCCCGCCCCTCCCCTTCCCTCTTTTATATCCCCATCTAGGACCGACCACCTTTTTTGTTTCCGTTCCCCTCCGTCCTCCTATTCCCCCTTCCCCCTCAAGACCCAGACAACGAAGATTGCGGTAGCCGCCTTTTCAGGCATCGCCACAGCCGACGCGTCCCATCCAGCATTCTTTCTAACCCGAACAAAGTGGAAGATCGTCCCCGTCGAGAGCCGTCGTCGTCGCCTACTTTCGAGGGCGAGATAAGCCCCCGGCGGGGACAGACAAAAGAAGAAGAGGGGTTTTTACCGTGGAAAAGATAAATCAGACGCTGAAGAAAAGACCAACCCGGAGAGGGGAAAATAAAAAAGTCATGCAGAGGAAGCCAAGAAAAAAATCATAAACCAGCCCGTCGTGATATCCGGAAACGCCCCGTTCTCCCAGACCCAAACCGCCAGCCCATATCAGCTAAGTCCTTGAAACGCCGAGACCCAGCTTCGTCTATGGGTATGCGCTGAAAAGCAAACCATGGCCGCCGCCCCCAAAAGACAAAGAGATACAAAAGAGAAAAAAAGCCAGACTAGCTTGAAAAACAAAGAGCAAGAAAAAAGCGCGAAATGCCGCACCAACAGCAACCATCGTACATGCTTCTCCCCCCAGCACGAATATTTGACGACTACCGCGCGGCATTACCACCAAGAGAAATCGTCTAATAATCATTCAACAACCCATCGAGCTCCTCGAGCTCAATGTTTTCGGGACTCC